CAAGCTGCAGGGAAGCTCACGGGTCTACCCAAAATTGAAGGAAATAAGAGCAATTAACATAAACCCAAGCCAATTCAAGCAAGAACAAAGGAAATTAGGGGCTGTTCTTACCGAACAAATGCCCAGAAATCACCCATACCCACTAGCAGCCGGCGGTGAAGACAAGCAGAGCAAGGCAGATCTGGAATTTCCAGCAAGGGGGGGGAGGATTTCTGGGTTCTAGAACAAGAAAGGAAGGAGAAATCCAAGCTTTCTCACTGATTTCTCAAGCATGGCTGGGTTCCCCTTCTTTTTCCTTCGGGCGGCTGCAGCGGGAAGACAGAGCAGAACACGCGGGGAAGAAGAAGAAAAGAAAGAAAGAAAAAGGAGAAAAGAAAAGAAGTCATCCTTATCCAAAATCTTTCCCTCTTTAAGTCCCTCAAGTTTGGGAATGTTGGCTATTAAGCCCAAAACAATCTTTTCTCACAATCAAGTCCTTATCTTACACTCAAATATTCCCGAAAATTTGGGATATTACATGCTACTAAGCCTTCCTTCTAAACTTCTCACTACAAACTTGTGCTCAATTGAGGTACAATACTCATGAACTTAAACTTCATCACAATGGTGTTATTTTTTAGATTTTGTATTTTTCTAATAGGGCACTCATGAATTTCTAACCCCTGAATATTTAAATCTTTGCTACTAAATGATCAAATTCCTAAAAAAAAAACTGTTTTGTAAAGAAAAGAAAAACAAAAAAGAAAAGAAAAAAATTGGTATGCAAGCAACATGAATATGATCTAATGCAAGTATGAGCATCAAAATATATCTCCCTCCCCCAAACTTAAATCAAACATTGTCCTCAATGTTAGAAGAATAAGTAAAGGAGAAAGGAAACTTCCTAGATTTTATGCACTTGAATATACAAAGTTGAGCTTGACTCTTGAATTTTCCTCAAACTGTGCACTAATCTGAAATAAAAAAAACTAAAATAAATCAATAATAATAAAAAGAAACTAAAGAAAAATAAAATGGAAAAAAAAATTAATGCTTGGGTTGCCTCCCAAGAAGCGCTTAATTTATAGTCATTAGCTTGACTATCTCAAAGGATCATTTTGGATCATGCAATGTGAAGGTGGTTTTGTGCTTGTTGAATCCACAACCATCAATATAAGGCTTCAAACGATGACCATTTACTTTAAAACTGCCTTTGGTTTCATGAGAAATTTCTACCACTCCATAAGGGAAAACCTTTTTCACAATGAAAGGACCCGACCACCTGGATCTCAATTTACCTGGAAACAATTTAAGACGAGAATTATAGAGTAAAACTTTTTGACCAACTACAAATTCACGTCTCAAAATGTGGCTGTCATGCCACTTCTTGGTGCGTTCTTTGTAGATCCTTGAATTCTCATATGCTTCAAGGCGGAATTCATCCAATTCATTCAATTGCAATATCCTTTTCTCTCTTGCAGCTTGCATATCAAAATTCAAAAATTTCACAGTCCAATATGCTTTATGTTCAAGTTCTGCAGGTAAATGACATGCCTTTCCAAAAATTAACCTATATGGAGACATACCAATAGGAGTTTTAAAAGCTGTTCTATATGCCCAAAGTGCATCATCAAGTTTCAATGACCAATCTTTCCTAGATGTGCTCACTGTTTTTTCAAGGATTTTCTTCAATTCCCTATTTGAAACCTCTACTTGGCCACTAGTTTGTGGGTGGTATGGGGTTGCAACTTTATGTGTGACTCCATATTTACTCAAAAGTGCATCAAATTGTTTATTACAAAAATGTTTCCCTCCATCACTAATGATTGCTCTAGGGATGCCAAATCTAGTGAAAATATTTTTCTTCAATAACTTAACAACTACCCTAGCATCATTAGTTGGTAAAGCTATAGCCTCCACCCACTTAGAAACATAATCCATAGCAACCAAAATATATTGGTTTGTAAAATAACGTGGAAAAGGTCCCATGAAATCAATACCCCAAACATCAAATAATTCACAAACAAGCAAGTTGTTTAAAGGCATCTCATTTTTCCTGGAAATATTGCCACTTCTTTGACATTTATCACATGAGGCAACAAAAGCATATGCATCTCTAAAAATATGTGGCCAATAAAAACCTGATTGTAGAACTTTGGCTGTAGTTTTGGAAGCTCCTAAGTGACCTCCAGCCTCTCAGTTGTGACAATGATGGAGTATACTTGCTACTTCCTCTTCTGGAACACACCTTCTAATGATTTGATCTGCACACAATTTATACAGGAAAGGCTTCTCCCAAAAATAATGTTTAACATCAGAAAAGAATTTTTTCTTCTGTTGATAAGATAGATCATGAGGATGGATGTTACTTGCCAAATAGTTTGCAAAATCAGCATACCAAGAAATAGATTTCACCTTAACAGAAAGAAGTTTATCATCTGGAAATTCTTCATTGATTGGAAATTCATCCCTTTCTTGGTTAGGACTCTCAATTCTTGATAAATGATCGGCAACTAAATTCTCAATGCCTTTTTTGTCCTTTATCTCTATGTCAAATTCTTGAAGGAGGAAGATCCATCTAATCAACCTGGGCTGCTTTGCATCTTTCTTGGTGAGAAAATATTTAAGAGCTAAATGGTCAGTATAAACAACTACTTTATTAGCAATTAAATAAGAACGAAATTTATCAAAAGCAAATACTATTGCCAAAAACTCCTTTTCTGTGGTTGTATAATTCAATTGAGCTTCTGAAAGGGTGTGGCTAGCATAATATATGGCTTGAAAAACTTTGTTCTTTCTTTGTCCCAAAACAGCTCCTATTGCATTATCACTTGCATCACACATAAGCTCAAAGGGTAAACTCCAATCAAGTGCTGCCATGATGGGTGCAGTTATGAGCTTTTCCTTCAAGTTGTTAAAGGCCTGCAAGTATTCATCATCAAAATTAAAAGGAACATCCTTAGCTAAAAGGTTAGAAAGGGGTTTTGTGATTTTAGAAAAATCTTTGATGAATCTTCTATAAAACCCTGCATGTCCAAGGAAACTTCTTACAGCCTTAACTGAAGTAGGTGGGGGTAATTTTTCAATCACCTCCACCTTTGCTCAGTCAACTTCGATTCCTCTAGAGGACACTTTATGTCCAAATACTATACTTTCCTGCACCATAAAATGACACTTTTCCCAATTCAAGACAAGATTAGTTTCCTCACATCTTTGCAAAACCAATTCCAAAATTTTCAAACATTCATCAAAAGAATCACCAAATATAGAAAAATCATCCATGAAAATTTCAATGAACTTTTCTACCATGTCATGAAATATAGCCATCACACATCTTTGAAAAGTGGTAGGTGCATTACACAAACCAAAAGGCATCCTCCTATAAGCAAAAGTACCATATGGGCAAGTGAAAGTGGTTTTCTCTTGATCTTCCGGTGCAATAGGAATTTGATTATATCCTGAATAACCATCTAGAAAACAATAAAGAGCATGTCTAGCAAGTCTTTCTAATATTTGATCAATAAAAGGTAAAGGAAAGTGATCTTTTCTAGTGGCATCATTTAATTTTCTATAATCTATGCACACACGCCAACCAGTCACTGTTCTAGTAGGAATTAGTTCATTATGCTCATTCTCAACCACTGTCATACCTCTCTTTTTTGGAACTACTTGAACTGGACTTACCCATGAGCTATCAAAAATAGGGTAA